TACTTTTACGTTTATTGAAAACTGATATTGGATTTCATTGGATTATTCCGATGTGATGCACAACATGGATTACCGACGAAAATCATGAGACTTACTTTTTAGCAGCACATCGAGTAACAATCCCCTAATCTTTTCCGTTCTTTAACATGCATATGGGCCCTTTGCACACGGGACGAACGGCCTACGCTGGAGGTGAACTTTCATCCCTTCAGCTAAAACACAAGGAGGGCAGCGATGTGAATTGAACCAGGTGACCTATGTACAGATTTATCCCCACGGTTCGGCGCACACACTGTGCCTACCACCAGTTTACCCGACTGATAGCTGCTCTAGTGTGAACATTTTTCTAGCGTGGACATTTCTCTAGCGTGGACATTTCTCTAGTGTGGACACTCTCTAGCGTAGACATTTCTCTAGCGTAGACACTCTCTAGCGTGGACATTTCTCCAGTGTGGACATTTCTCTCGCTTGAACATTTCTCTCGTGTGGACATATTTGAATTTGTAATTTTAATAATTGTATCTAGAATCTGTTACTGTAAATGATTAATCTATTTTGTGTTCTTGTGATAGCTCCGTCAATTTAAATGTTCCTTAATACTTTAGATCGCTAAAATTGCTGATCAATGTGGTATAAATGAAGACAACGTCGTCCACGTCCTCAATTACCTTAATGATCTTGGAATCATCCTGTATTCGCCCACTAACAAGAAATTGAAGAACACTGTGATTATTAACATCCATATGCTGATTGGCATCTTCATGAAAATCATCACAGTTGTGGAACCTGATGATGTTAAGGTAATTTTGATTGTTCAAGTGAACAATACAGTATATCATTGTTTAGTTATGAACTCCAGTCTGTGTGTGGGGGTGGGGGATGTGCAATATTAAATACCTTTACAAGCAAACATTTCATACACGGGACACTTGGTGTCTAAATTAATATTTTACCACCTGTCATTGTATCATTAATAATATTAATATGAGTGTATCGATTTGATACATAATTACATATTCTAACTGGACTCCATACCTAGGCCATGTATACATTGTGCCTGTATTTAACATATTTCAATCTTTGTCAATCTAAAGTCGGAGGTATGTCCTGATCCCGACCCTTGAACATCACTATTGGATAGGGTTATCTTCATAAGACTTCTACGAATGGATACATATTGTTTCGAAGCAAGAAATCAAGTTGTCTTTACCAAGTACTGCTCGTATATTTTATTTGTGTGGAAATTTTTCAACCTATATTATCGGCTAAACAGTATCATGAAAAGCCGCAATATAATTACTACCGGTACTCTTTTTCAGTGGCATATCTAGGAGTCTTGAAATGGGGAAGGGGGGGTTCAGAGGGCGGGGAGGGATAATGACAGTGCCGTAGCTACGGGGCCGTGCAGCGAGTGCAAAGCACTGGGAGCCGGGGCTACTAGGGGCCTATTCATAATTAGAATAGATATAATAATTTTAAATTTAAAATAATTTCCAACTTAAAAGTTTTGAAGAATAAAACGGCCAGCGGGCCCTCAATAATATTTATATTAAGTTTTTTTTTTGGAGTAATTGTTGATTATCTGTGTTGATTTTAAATCTGGTCTATTCAAGGGTGTTCTAGCCGGTTCCCCCCTATTTTTTTTTTTCAAAATTATAAAAGAAATTGGAAAAATGGGAAATTATATTATAAGTTAAGTCTGAGAGTGCCATTTCCGGCCATCATAGTGGTGCTATAATAATAAATTATATTACCTCAGCCCCAAACATGGTTGTTCTGAGATTGTCTAAACTCTCCTTGTATGGAAGTTCCTCCAGTGGCGTAATGCCTGTGAGCTCTCGGGGCTCCTACTGAAAAGGGGCCCCTCATACTACCGGTACTTATAAGCACTTACTCAATGGCCCTTCTATTTCGAATTCTCAAACCGTCACTGCAATTGTTAAATTTGATGCGCCACCAATTTTCTTGATTAGTTTAGAACAGCTGCTAAGACCGAATATGCTCCTCTTGAAATAGTTACGAATCCTAGACACTTCTTAAGATAAATTTTATGAGACCTTTAGGGAATTTCCATATCACATTAAAGGGCCCGGAAATTAGACTAGCACTGGGCCCTTTCGCACCTAGCTATGCCGCTGGTTGACGGTGTCACGATTGAAGGTGGGGATGTGGGAGCTCGATGATTAGATGAGTGGCATTAACTTGCAAAATAAGGTGATTTTTAACTGCGCCCCATAAAATATGCCCTTTCCCTGCTTACCATGCACCCCCTGGGTAGGTCGTACGAAGCTCATCATTTCTCTGATAAGTACTTTACAGCACTTTAACCTCTGTTTCATTTTCATATAGACTGCTCCAGTAATGATACAGTATTGGCGTAAGTTCGACGAAGAAGGAATTCTTGCGGAACAGCTAGTGCGTCACTTGTGGAGAACAGACCTTACTGCTAATCAAGATGATAATGACGTCATCTTTGAGGACTTCATTGAAATTATGAAGACATTTGGACTACTCTTCGAAAAGGTAATCATATCATAAGTTTATCAATTGTTTTTTATGTACAAATATATATTTTTAAAAATTTTATATAATTTTTTGTACGTATTTGATACAAAATTCTTTACTTTCTCATGTCAATGGAACTTATCTTTTTATTCAAGCCACTAAAATATTGTTTCTTGATCCACTGATCAATTTAAGCTAACCTCATTATATTCTATTCAAATTCTGTTTGTTTTTTTAACAAAGGGATCTCGAGAGAGTGATAGAGTCTTCATCGTTCCATCACGGATGAAAATCAAAACTGGCGACTTACAAGTTAGAAAAGATGAAGAGCAAATGGTATCGGTCTATGTGACCCCGAAAGACTTCCTCCCTGATGCTGTGTACAGTGTCTTGGTAGTGAAATTCCTTGAATTAAGCCAGGACAAAGAATGTACTGGCGACCCAGAGTTGTTTCAGAACCAGGCTAAAATAGGATTCGACAACATGCATTACCTAAGGCTGGGAGTTGTGCGCATTAGCAACAAACGATCATTGAAGGTAAACACAATATGTCACGATTCATTGAGGTACAGTATCTTACAGTAGAACATAAATGTATTTTTAAACCCATGCTTATTATCAGCCAAACTAAAATTTTAAAACGTATCACCAGGTATTCTATGACGTAACAAGTGCAATTGTCCAATTGAAAATATATATATA